TATGTCCATTTTTTATATAAGGAAAACGTCTGCTTCAAAGTGTGGTCGTAAAATCTCACTGCACCGTATAGTGGGAGAATTTATAAGCTGCTATAAATTCGACAACGAATATTTCACAGATTTTTGCATACATATTCCGACGTTCTGTCGTCGCAAGACAGATTTTATTTGCCACGGAACAAGAATTTATTGTCCACGAAATGGAAAAATAGGACACCCGATTTGAGTAGGGATAATATTCGAATCCCTTATCTCTTTTTTACCAGTGTGTATCAATGCTCGACGTTGTTGTCAAGAAAAAAATCAATGCTGGTCTGTCAGAAGACAGAGAGTTGCAACATGAGAGAAATGAGAGAAGAGATCTTTGTATAGTTTTTTATTTCCTAAGAAGAGATAATCTGTAGTAAAACAACAATCTCAAAAATAAAATCGCTCTGGCAACAATATTTCTTATTTATCTAAATAATTTTTATTATTATTTTCTTCATTCGCGCAAAGTACGCAAGTTATTGTCTTTTAAAAAGAGCTTTTGTTTGTCAGTGTATTCTTTTGTTACTAAAGATTTAAAGATAACAGCGTCAGTTTTTTTCCATGAGGAGACCTAACACGAATAAAAGTCTTATCTCAGTATATAGATACTTAGATAAGAGATATATGTAACTAACGTAGAGCGACAAAGAGCCGCGCGAAGAGTTTACTTCAAAGGGCGAAGATTGCATTTTGTATATGATGATTTAGAGAAAAATTTAAAAAAACTTATTTTTACAATAAGAAAATATTATGGCAAAGTAACTATTTTCGAGATTATTTGATATCATAATTTTTATGAGATCAAATTAAGATTTTCATCCTGATTCGAATTTACAGGGTCATCTAAAATCTCTAAACCTTTTTCTTTCTTCACTAAAGTGACAGACAAAAAAATTGTAAATTTACACAGACCGGTGTTATTTTATGAATTTGCGTTCAAAATATAAAATATGTATGTTTAATTTATAATACATTTTATATGTGAAAAAAAAACCAAATCTCGAAAGGGTTAATTCGGAATTGTCCCTTCGCGTGGCACGTGTTCGCGCGGCTATCTTCTTCTCTCCGCAATTGAGAGACGAGAGAGGTCAATGGTTTAACTTCGTTCGCACAATTGGTCTGGATTAACGTCGTAATAAATCTCAATTAGGGTCGGTTCCTCAACCGCACTCGGTTAGGGGGAGATTTCGCAGATGATTTTCCCTCGGCCTGTTGGTTCATCACGAAATTTTTAACGCCAAATAGCGCGTTCATTGAGAAATAATCGTCGTATTGAGAGTCGCGTGCGATCTCTTCTCACACAAATATACAATTTACAGAACTTTAATTATATTTATTTAGACAAAAAAACTTTGTTTTAACAAATGTTCATTTATTGAGTTGAATTAATTTGAACTATCAGAAAAAACTCTCAGAAGAAACATTAGCGACTACGTTTGATATTGCGATAAACAATCAAACAGAGCAAGTTATTTTATCGATTGATCAGTCGCATCAATCGCAAAGCAAAGCAACTTGTGCGCGATTGATCGACACAATCGATAAATGAAAAAACAAAACCTTGCTTGTGACTCGAGATGCAACAAAACAAAAACTCGCGTTTCAAATTCACAATTCTTGTTCTGGATCAAAAACTCGAACGAACCTGTGGCGCAGATGCCGCCGATGATCCAAACGAGGCAAACAACACCGGCAAGGAGGATGCGCGTCCTCGCAGAGGCCGGTTGCTGCTCCATCCTCTTGCTCCGCCGCTGCACACGACGTTGACCTCTTCCTTCTTTCCCCCTTCCTCCGTTCCACTCCGCCGTCGCCGCTCGCTTCTTTGCTCCTGTAACCGCTGCGAGTAAAAAAGCCTCCGCCGCGGCTTACGTCGATCGCGATGGTCCGCGACGCGGAGTCTTCGTCTCGCGCGCACTTGCCGCTCGCATTCCGCAGAGAATGCTCGTTTCTTTCCACTGTTCACCTCTTGCCTTTTCCACTCTTTTATTGCTAATACGCGTCTATAACGTTTGAAGAGCAAAACTTGATGTTTTTTCTTCTGTTATTCCACAGACGAGCAAACAAACAAAAAATACTCGCAACTTCGAAAATAAAAATGAGACGTCAAAAAAGGAAGAGACGCAGGAAGACTATAAAGCAAATCGTTTGAGCGGACAATCGCGTGAAAATCGCGCTACACTATCCGACGCTTCCACGCGTTTCTCCTGTAAATCATCTTTTCGCCACGGCTAACTTCGTGAAATGTTTACTCCAAAAAAAAGGAAAAAAATGCTCTTCGCAAATTCGCTTACACGAGCGCATTCCTCGCGCAGCGAAGTATCGGAGATTTTCTCTCTCTCTCTCTCTCTCTCTCTTCCTTTCTCTTTCTTTAGAGTTTTCTTTCCGGGAAAAGCAGAATGTTCATGAGAATCCGCAGAAACGAGCGAGATCTATCGATCGATAACAGCTCGCTCGCTTCTTTCCTTCTTGTTCGTTTCACTTTTCTCTTCTTGTCACTTTCGATCGCTTCGTCTTCTCGTCCTCGTTTCGATTCAATTACCGTTAATCGACGCGACGAGATCTCGCGTTGACGATCCAGGATTTTAATTCGCGCTGTCACTCGCGTCTCTTCGCGACACATCCGAAAAACTCGCGCGCGTATAAATGTTCACAATATATATTCACGCACAATTCACACACACACACACACACAGCACACATACAGTTTTGACAGAATTTTGCGGGATACTTTGCACACTTTGTTGACGCGACTTTTTCCTCGGGAAGGTAACGCGATACGCGAAGGCACATTCACCTGGTGACACCTGGCGAACACAACAACGCGAATTACTCGTCTAGTTCCGGTGAATAGTATACATAGCGGAGTGAAATGAGAACGCGAACCTTGAAGCGCGATTGCGAGAGCCTTTTTCTTTCGCAGATCGACTGTGTTACGTTCAACCTTGTTTGCGAAGTCTCGAGGTATTAAAGCGACGCGCCGTGTCTCACTCGCCGACGAACGAGCGACGATAACGCGTCAACCAACTTAAAATCACACACGTACACGCATGCTCGCCGCGTACGTTACTGACCGGCCAATCCGCTCTCGAGGGTCGCACGCGCACACTCGGCACACGTCTGCCAACAGTTTTTAGAACAATTTTCAAACGCTATTCGCATGCGCAAACACTGCGTCGCTACGCGCGACGCTAGACCCCACTTTGCCCGCTTTTCTTCCCGCGCGGAAGGGAATCTCTTCTCTCTCTTTTATCTTAAGCCTGTGTCACACTGTGTGTTAAAAACGCGGATCAGAATTTAGCCAATCAAGGCAGAGCAGATTCGAGAGCTGACTCGTCTTGACTGGCTAAATTCCGATCCGCAATACGTTTATTGTGACGCTGGCTTGAGACATTGTTTGTTTGACAATTGTCGCAAGTTAGCAATTGCAAAAATCTCCAGAATTCACCGATCACATTCGGGTCTAATCTGAAAAGTTTGTGTGATTGGGTGCGTTCAGACAACTCAACGGTTGCACAACAGTTGAGAGATAATCACTTCTGATTGGATCATACTTTTGGAACCGCTTCTGATTTTGAAGAATAGTCCTATCATAAGTGATGATCTCTCAACCGTTGAGTTGTCTGAACGCACCCATTGTGGATCCGATTGTAATTTGTATTGTGTTGTCACCAGGGCCACCAAACTGCGTGTACCAGCGTTAGTGGCGCCTTCTATAAGACCTCGTACCTGGCATGAACTAAATACGAATGTGTAAGTGAATACGTGTGAACACATTTCAACACGTTTTTGCCGTTAGTTATACGCGACTACATTGTGGATTTGTTAAATCATTTTTGT